ACCACTTTATAATGCCTTGGTAAGGGAACACTTGGAATACTGCATTCAGTTTTGGTCGCCACGATGAAAAAAAAAAGATGTGGAGACTCTAGAAAGAGTGCAGAGAAGAGCAACAAAGATGATTAGGAGACTGGAGGAACGGTTGTGGAGACATGATAGCAGTTTTCCAATATCTCAGGGATTGCCACAAAGAAGAGGGAGTCAAACTGTTCTCCAAAACACCTGAGGGAAGGACAAGAAGCAATGGGTGGAAACTAATCAAGGAGAGAAGCAACTTAGAACTGAGGAGAAATTTCCTGATAGTTAGAACAATTAATCAGTGGAACAGCTTGCCTCCAGAAGTTGTGAATGCTCCAACACTGGACGTTTTTAAGATGTTGGATAACCATTTATCTGAAATGGTATAGGGCAGCGATGGTGAATGTTTTTTGGCTTGCGTGCCATAAGTGGAGGGAGCATAATGCAATGCGGAACCCCCAAGTGCGCATGCATGCACTACAGGCGCGACCCCCCCCATTTTTTGCATCCTTTTTTCGCCCTCCCCAGGCTCCAGAGGCTTTATAAGAGCCTAGGGAGAACGAAAAAAGCCTCCCCCCCCCCGGAGGCCCTTCAGGAGGCTTCTCTAAAGCCTCCGGAGGGCAAAAAAAGATCCTCCGAGCAAACCGGAAGTCCATTCCCAAACTTCCGGTTTGCCTATAGGGCCATTTTTTTGCGCTCCGGAGGCTTCAGGGATGCTCCTGAGGACCTCTGGGGTGGGGGAGGCTCTTTTCGCCCTCCCCAGGCTCCTATAAAGCCTTTGGAGCTTGGGGAGGGCGAAAAATGGCTTTAAAAAGGGTGAACTCAGCTGGCCAGCGTGCGCATGTGCGCTGGCCACCTGACAGGGCAGCGTCTCGCGTGCCCTGACGAATGGCTCCGCGTGCCACTTGTGGCACGTGTGCCATAGGTTCACCATCCCAGGCATAGGGTTTCATGACTAAGCAGGGGGTTGGACTAGAAGACCTCCAAGGTCCCTTCCAACTCTGTTATTCTACTCTATTCTATTTAATCACAGTTATTAAGCAAAACTCATTGTTTGCTATGGGGTGTTTTTGCTGAAAAGTAGAAATAAATATTGCTTTTTGGCAAAAATGTTGTAAACCATGGTCATGTGATCATAGGAAGCTGCAAACAGCTGTAAATGCAGGCCAGTTGCTGAGTGCCCGAATTGTGGTCTTGTGACCATGTGGTGGAGGGAGGGCACATTACAACTTCAGAATCAGATCATAAGTACTTTTTTTTGAGGGGGGGTGTTCCATTGTCACTAAGAATTACCTGTAGGAGCGGAACCATGAAATCCCAAAGTCTGGTAAGATTCACAGAAAGTACATTTATAACCTAAAAAAAGCCCCTCTCTGAGGCAGATAGGCGATTAAGAAACCCAAAGTATAACTAAATAAATCTCACTATAGCTTAACCATAGATAGTTAATATCAAACTGTCTTCAGTGATCTGCAGGATTTCACTTACTTGTTTCACAGTGGCCTTGAAGGCACCCAAAATAGCAGCAGCCCCACCACAATCTCGTTTCATTCCAGGCATTGTTGTCTAGCGAAATAAAAGCAGAAACGCAAGCGTTTATCTCAAAGCCACGGAGGGCAAAGTATCCCAGCTGCAGGTTCTTCTTCTCAAAAGCAAACTGCAACAAGTTCAGTGAAACTTCCTCCAACTCAAGGTAGCAGGTGTGATCTAAAGACAACATTTCCATCTCTTCATCCCATACTTATCTTTGCCTCTCCTTCCTTGTCAAACTTTAGTCTGAAATGGGAAGGGCAGGGGTGAAATGCTACCAGTTCAGACCGGTTTGCCTGAACCAGTAGCAAAAATGCCACCAGTTCGCCCGGACCAGTAGTAAAAATGCTACCAGTTCTCCCGAACAGGTAGTAAAAATGCTACTGGTTTGCCTGAACTGGTAGTAAAAATGCAACCGGTTTGCCTGAACCGGTAGTAAAAATGCCACCGGTTTNCCAGATCCAATACCATGAAGGGCTTTGTAGGTGACAACTAGCACCTTGAAGCGTACCCGGAGATCAACAGGCAGCCATTTTACGACCTTCTTTATCAATCGCTGAAGTTGTTAAGTGAATGACACACTTGTTAAGTGAATATGGCTTACTTGTCAGAAGGTTCTCAAAAGGTAACCACATGACCGGGGAACATTGCAACAACGGTGCCTAAATTTTGATCACGTGACTGTGTGAATGCTACAACGGTTATAAGTGAAAGATGGTCATAACTCACTTTTTTCAGTGCCGTTGTAACTTTGAAATTCATAAAGTATTGCCTCTAAGTGAAACTGCTGAGTGACAGCTGATCAATGCAATAGAAGAAGAGGAGGAATAACAGGTATCAGAGGAAGAGCTGTTTCATCCCAATGGAACTAGCTTGCTCTACTCCCTTCAGTGCAAAGGGCTTGCGGTAGACCCGGCTGGGCAAGAAATTTTGACCAACGGGTCAAGGAGGAGAACGTTTTCCGCTATGGATCCTGCCCTGTGAATCATTCGGTGGAACCAGACGTGACAACAGCTTCCAGACCTCCGCAAGAGTATCAGAAAGCCCATTTTGTCAGTTGGTTTGGGGCCCTGAGGGTGGTGCTCACTGCTGGAAAGGATTAACAGGATAAGAAGATCTCATCCCCATGAGGTCCATCTCTTTGGTCCTAGTTTTTATATAGCCTTATAATTGCAATTTTAATTAAGCAGTTTAGTCAAGCGTCGTGGGCAGGCGTGTCCAAAGTGGCAAACGATGCCATGTCAGCCGGCACGCGCACCCTTTGCCTGTTTGTCTTCTGGATTTCTGGCATGCATGTGCACGCGATGATCAGCTGTCCGAGCGCACGGCAGAGCCAAAAATCAGTGTGCACATGTGCGCTGGCCAGCTAATTGTCGGGCATGCACGCATGCCAGAACCTGGATTTTCGGCTTTACCGGAGCGTGATCCCTTCGCGCGTGAGGCAGTGCCAAAAACCAGCCTGCACATCTGCACCAGCCTGCTAATCGTTGGGCGCGCATGCATGCTAGAACCTGGAAATTAGACTTTTCCAGAGCGTGGCCCTGATGAGCGCATGCGCATGACATTTCCACACAACCTTTTCGGCACTCGGTGCTGAATCTAGTGGGAAGTCATAATCTAGCGGTGAGAAAGTGGGAAGTCTTAAGTTCAAAGTCCTACTTTAGCGCTGAAAGGCATCTAAGTGGGCCAGTCACTCTCTCTTTCAACCTTACCCACCTCATAGGATTGTTGTGAGGAGAATAGGAGGAGGAACATAGTGCTGACTATGTTCACTGCGCCTTGAGTTGCTTAGAAAAATAATCAGGATGGGATATAAATAAACAAAATAAAAACAATCAAACACGCATATCTGCCTATCCTAGGTCCTTGAGAGAGAAAAAAAACTTGACAGACAAAAATGCCAAATTTGAACATCCGGCTGACTATGTGATGAACCATAAAATAAAAATAATAGAATAAATTTTTAGGGTTTGTCAACTGCCCAGAGATGCCTCATTGGTCAGAGGAGGGGCATGTCAATGTCATAAATAAATTAAATAAATGCCAGCCACTTTCCTTTTATGGCCCTGCTATAACCCTACATACGATCTCGTATCTGTGCTTGGTTGAATTCTCATTTTGTCTTGTGTTTTGAGATCTATGGCAAAGCAAGAGATCGCCCATCAGAAGGAATTCTTTGAAGTATTCGTCTTACTTCCTACCGCCAGAGACACTGTGGTCACTAAATTGATTTGCTTGCTAGAATACTGGGAAAATCCAAAATAGCCCTTTGGAAATGACATAGATTCATCAGGCACCTGGTATGGATTATCATGGATGGAGTTATTATCCAGTGGAGATCATGGGTGAAATTACATTTGGATCCAGATACGATCTGACCACAGCAAAGGGGTTAGGCAAATCTTTTCCATATCCAGATCGCGTAACATCTGTTCAGGGACCAAAAACCAAAACCAAAGTCTTATGTGTCAGGCCCGAAATCGAGACAAGCCCATAGAAGTCATGCGATCCTGAGCTTCATCAGAACCAGGTTTCCCAACCTGGAGGTTGAAATTCCCCCATATCAAAAATTGGGGATTTCCCACCAGCAGCCCAGAGATGCAGCTTTTGTATACAGGTAGTCCTCAACTTAGGACCACATTCGAGCCCTGTATTTCCGCTCCAAATAAGACTCACTGGTTAAGTGAGATTTGCCCCATTTCTTCCCATAATTGTTCAGTGAATCACTGCAATTGTGAAGTCAATCACATGGTTGTTAAGTGAATTTTCAGCTCTGGGTCAAAAGGATCCATTCCCCACTGTCCTGTCAGAGCTGAAGAAGCTTCTTGGATGAGAAGCAAAATGTCTTCAAAAGAAAAAAAACAAACAACAGAAAGTCCAGTTGTCTACTGGGGGGAAAAAAAACAGCTTTGGGACAACCATGAACTGAATTACTGAGAATCTCTACAAACTCATAAGGACAGTTACAATTTGATTTTGTGAACGGTTCAATTAATGACCAAGTTGCTGGGATAAGTTGTGGTCAGTATATGAGGATTACCAGTATACAAACGCCTCCCCCAATAGCCTTGAGTGATAAGTAACCTAAATTGGTTGCCATGATGTAAAAAAGATGTGGAGACTCCAGAAAGAGTGCAGAGAAGAGCAACAGAGATGATTAGGGGACTGGAGGCTAAAACCTATGAAAAACGGTTGCAGGAACTGGGTATGTCTAGTTTAATGAAAAGAAAGAATAGGGGAGACATGATAGCAGTGTTCCAATATCTAAAGGGCTGCTACAAAGAAGAAGGAGTCAAACTATTCTCCAAGGCACCTGAGCGTAGAACAAGAAGCAATGGGTGGAAACTAATCAAGGAGAGAAGTAACTTAGAACTGAGGATAAATTTCCTGACAGTAAGAACAATTAATCAGTGGAACAGCTTGGCTCCAGAAGTTGTGAATGCTCTAACAATGGAAGCTTTAAAGAAGAGGTTGGATAACCATTTATCTGAAGTGGTGTAGGGTTTCCTGCCTAAGCAGGGGGTGGGACTAGAAGACCTCCAAGGTCCTTTTCAACTCTCTTATGCTATCCTATTCTAAATAATGAGTTGTATTTTGGAGTCAGTCTCGGATGGTTGTGGGGGTGGGCAATCTACATAAATGGAAAAATAAAATTCCTCCTTCGCTAAATTTGTTTATTAGTTTCCACTGAAAACAGCTGACGCAATGAAAAATTGGTGGAATGAGTATAGATTTGCAAATCAGAAGAATTCACGCGGCCCTCCTCTCTTAAATTAAGTTCACTTGGACTAGAGACCACACAACTCTTGACAGGCATTCTTCAAAAGTCTGAAATGTGGCAAAGCTTCTGCCAATATATGGACATTAAAAAGTGTCACAGAAAATTGGGAATCATGGTGGGAACCACTGAATCAACAGCAGAGGGGGGGGTGTCAGCTGTGCAGTTTACATGCCAAAGCAACTTCATTAAGTTGCATAATTGCTTAATTTGTAACAGGCAATCCTACTTAGAATTGCTGTTTTCATTCCAAACTTTGGCTGAAATTCTTTTTTTGCATCGGGGGAAATTTATGTTGAAACCCTAGAAATTGTCCAGAGAAGAGCAACACATTCACTGCTCTTGTTACTTTAGTAGGACGGTTGTTAAGTGGATCTGGCTTCCCCGTTGACTTTGCTTGTCAGAAAGTCACAAAAGGGGATCACATGACACCCCTCCCGGGATACTGCAGCCGTCATCAATGTGTGTCAGTCCTCAAGCATCTGAATATAAATCATGTGACCCTGGGGATGCTATAATGGTCATAAGTGTGAAAAAATTGTCATAAGTCACCTTTTTCAGTGCCGTTATAACTTTGAACCAGTGGTGGATATCTACCGGTTTGGACTGGTTTGGCCAAATTGATAGTAGTTTGATGGCCTGCGTCGCTAGAACCGGCAGCNCAACTACAATGTTCATTAGAACTAGAAGGAGAAGGAAAGGACGAAGAAAGTAACTTCACATTTACAAAACTGGTACAAGGGGCGAGTTAAAACTGGAAAAGTGAGCTGTCACCTCCTCCAAACAGAAAAGCAGTATATAGATTTTACTAACGAAATAATTGTGTCTAACTGACTCTTGGGATAATCCAGATGCCCAAACATGCAGATGTATCTATGGATAAATACATTTGTTGGAAGTTCCCCCCTTTAAAAGTGTTCCTCCCTTTAAAAAACAAAAACAAAAAAGCAAGATATATTCATTTAATTTCATTCCATTAATGAACTAATTGTAATCTGGCAAGTTATCCACTTCTGCCATCAGCTTTGTTTCCAAAACATTTGTTCACCTTCCACCATCTCTTGTCAACTTTCTTAGAACCTGAGGTGATAGGTGAGGTAAATTGTCTCATGGCTGCCATGACCAACCTCGACAGCCATGGTTTCAAAACTCTACACGTCTCATTGGTCCCAGAAAATGGCTTAGCCATGGCCTAGGCCCATGATGACGTACCTATGACACGTGTGCCACAGGTGGCATGCAGAGCCCTCTCTGCAGGCATGCGAGCTGTCACCCCTCCGTAGCTCCATCTTACATGTCCATGTGCCTTCCGCCAGGCAGCTAATTTTTGGGTTTCTACTGTACATGCGCTTTACCCCCTGGGGTCGTGCGTGCATATGTGGGGGTCGGAAGGGAGACTGCCCCCCCTTGCAGCCTGTTTTTGATCCCATGAGGCTGCAGAGAGGCCTACTAGGCCCAAAACAAGGTGTGGGGGAGTGTGCCGTGGCCCCCCGCGGCCTGTTTTTGCTACTAGTAGGCTGTAGGGAGGCCTACTAGGCCCAAAACAGGGCACAGTGGGTCGCACACACATGCACAAAAGGAAGGGGAGTGGGGCAGGTGTGCATGTGTCTGGGTCAGGGGAACGCAGGGGGTCAGGCGCGCATGCACAGGGGAGGAGGGATAGTCACGCATGCATTGCATTGTGGGTGCAGGCGCGCTTTCGACAAAAAGCTTAGCTATCACTGGCCTGGGCGTTGCAGTGAAAATAAGACAAACATGTGGAATGCAGGGGTGGGATTTTCAGGGTGAAGATTAATGCCAAAAGTCATATTTCACCAGGATCAACACTTGGAGGCCCTGATATTTTAATGAAGTACTCCCACCACAAGTAGTCGCAGTGTAACTGATTGATGGAGCTCAAGGGAGATGATTGCTTTTTTTTTTCCATATCAGCCCATTGCAGCTTGGATGGCTTTTTTTTTTTAATGAAATGAACCAAGCACGGACCAAACCTTAATCAGTTTTGAGAGTTTTGTATAGAAACGGGATCCAGGTGGAACCCTGGCCCCATTCACCGACAAAGATATGCAAAAGTTTAGAAAATTTGAAAAGTGCCAATGCTACTACAGGGTAGGCTTCAACTTACAACAGCTTTTTTTTGTGACTGCTTGAAATTTCAATGACACTTTAACAAAGTGTATTTGGAGTGTTTTTTTTACACTTGTCACCATTGCGCCACCCCCATGATCACGTGATGACAATTCAGACTGATGGCAACTGACTCATATTTATGATGGTTGCATTGGCCCGGGGTGAACTTCTGGCAAGCAAAGTCAATGGGGAAGCTGGATTTACTTAATAACCATGTGGATAATCCATTAACTGCAGTGATTTGCTTCACTGTGGCAAGAAATGTTGTAAAATGGGACAAAATTCACCTAAGAACTGTCTTGTTTGGCAACAAAAATTTTGCCCTCAATTGTGGTTGTAAGACTACCTGTAGTATTTCTTTTTCCTTCTCTTCCTTTTCCTCCTTTTTTAAAGTAACAATTTGTCTAAGATGACATCAGCACCAACAGCATTGTTGTTGTTAGTTGCAAAGTCATGTCCCACCCATCGCTTCCCTATGGACAATGTTCCTCCAGGCCTTCCTGTCCTCTACCATCCCCGAAGTCCATTTAAGCTCACGCCAACTGCTTCGGTGACTCCATCCAGCCACCTCATTCTCTGTCGTCCCCTTCTTCTTTTGCCCTCCATCTTCCCAGCATTAGGATCCTCTCCAACTCACTGGAGAAAAGTCTCTAGTCAAAGATATATGGAGATGCCAGTGACTTTATGATAGATTATAATATTGATTGCCATCATATAGAACATTTTTATTGTGGAAGCCTTGATGCTCTCTGACCTTGGTTATTTGCTTGCAGACATTTCATTACCCAACTGAATTACATCATCAATGCTGGTGAATGTGGGATTGTCCCCATTTATACACAGTAACTTGCCCTCAATCTTTCCCAGCATTAGGATCCTCTCCAACTCACTGGAGAAGAGTCTCTAGTCAAAGATATATGGAGATGCCAGTGACTTTATGATAGATTATAATATTGATTGCAATCATATAGAACATTTTTATTGTGGAAGCCTTGATGCTCTCTGACCTTGGTTATTTGCTTGCAGACATTTCATTACCCAACTGAATTACATCATCAATGCTGGTGAATGTGGGATTGTCCCCATTTATACACAGGAACTTGCCCTCAATCTTTCCCAGCATTAGGATCCTCTCCAACTCACTGGAGAAGAGTCTCTAGTCAAAGATATATGGAGATGCCAGTGACTTTATGATAGATTATAATATTGATTGCAATCATATAGAACATTTTTATTGTGGAAGCCTTGATGCTCTCTGACCTTGGTTATTTGCTTGCAGACATTTCATTACCCAACTGAATTACATCATCAATGCTGGTGAATGTGGGATTGTCCCCATTTATACAAAGTAACTTGGCCTCAATCTTTCCCAGCATGAGGCTCTTCTCCAGGGAGTCCTTCCTTCTCATTAGGTGGCCAAAGTATTT